ATGCTCGAACTAAATCAAAAACTGCCTCCCTTCTTGTGAGATCCAGGACTACCAGCTTCAAGTCACAGTCATTAGTAGTGTCTAGAAATGCTATCTCTGCATCCTGTGCAGAGGTGACATGTACCCAGCCAATATGGAGATAGTTGAAATCCCCTATTATTATTATTGAGTTTTCTATTTTTATAGCCTCTCTAATCTCCCTTGGCATTTCACAATCACCAGCACCACCCTGGTCAGGCGATCGGTAGTACATCCATACTGCTATACGCCTATTATTCAAGCATGGAATTTCTATCCCGAGAGATTCTATGGTACACTTTGATTCATTTAAGATTTGTACTATATTTGACTCTATGCTTTCTTTCACATACAGTGTCACGTCCCCCACAGCGCGATCTGCTCTGTCATTCCTATCTAGTTCCTACTCTGGTGTCACCGTGCCCCATTGATTATCATCATTCCACCAAGTTTCTGTGATGCCGACTATATCAATATCCTCATTTAATACCAAGCACTCGAGTGCACCCAGCTTACAATTTACACTTTTAGCAGTTGTATACAAGCACTTCTAAAATTTGTCAGTATTTAGTTGTCGGCCTTCGTGCGAGGTAACTGAATGGAACTCTTTCATTGGACTGTTTCTCTTCAGTTCCTATCTGCACTTTATCAACTTCTATCCTCTCCCCTTCACTAGGACAGAGAATCCCTGAGAAGAGATCCTCCCCTAAGGGATGTCTCTGTCCGAATCATGTGCTCCTCCGTACCTGTCAGCTTCTCACAGCCATTAATTTCAAAACTCCTCTACCACCTTTTAAATTTTATATGCCAGCAATCTGGTTCCATTTTGGTTCAGGTTGAGCCCATTTCTCCTGGATAGGCTCCTTCTTTCCCAAAGGGTTCCCCAGTCCCTAATAACCCTAAACCCCTCCTCTTACCTAGCAGCCTCTCTTCTAGCTTTCCCTATGTCATTGGTACCTACACGTACCACGACCACCGGCTCCTCCCCAGCACTGCACATATGTCCGTCTAGATGTCTCGAGAGATTTGCAATCTTCACACCCGGCAGGTAATTCACCAGATGGTTCTCCCGGTCATCACAAACCCAACTAGCTATATTTCTAATGATCGAATCCCCCATTACTGTTACCTGTCTCTTCCTAATAACAGGGGTTCCCCTCCCCTGGAGGGGTATCCTGAGTGTGAGACAATACCATGACATCACCTGAAGAAAGGTCCCAGCTATGGGATTGTTTCCTTCTGATCCAGTTTTATGTTCTTCCCTGAAACTTTCATCCTCCTCAACAGCACAGAGGCTGTCAACCTGGGGATGCAACTGCACTACAGTGTCCCAAAAAGTCTCGTCTATGTTCCCCTCTGTCTCCTCCCCTTCAGCCACTCTAGTCTCAAGAGCCTGTACTCAGTCCCTCAGGGCCCTGAGCTGCTTAAATTGCTACATATTTAAACTGTATGTTCAGATATTATCCAACACTAGGGTGAAGGGATTTAGGGGAGGGAAAGGGAGGCAGAGAGACAGAAAATGAGAATGTGGTGAAGCTGCTGAACCTGGGGTGAATGTAATATGCTGTCTATGGAATTATGTATTACAGAATCATAGGACTGGAAGGGACCGCGAGAGGTCATCTAGTCCAGTCCCCTGCACTCTTGGCAGGACTAAGAATTATCTATACCATCCCTGACAGGTGTTTGTCTAACCTGCTCTTAAATATCTCCAGTGATGGAGATTCCACAACCTCCCTGGGCAATTTATTCCAGTGCTTAACCACCCTGACAGTTGGAAAGTTTTTCCTAATCACCAACCTAAACCTCCCTTGCTGCAATTTAAGCCCATTGCTTCTTGTCCTATCCTCAGAGGTTAAGGAGAACAATTTACCTCCCTCCTCTTGTAACAAACTTTTATGTACTTGAAAACTGTTATGTCCCCTCTCAGTCTTCTCAAGACTAAACAAACTGAATTTTTTAAATCTTTCCTCGTAGATCATGTTTTCTAGACTTTTAATCATTTTTGTTGCTCTTCTCTGGACTCTCTCCAATTTGTCCACATCTTTCCTGAAATGTGGCGCCCAGAACTGGACACAATACTCCAGTTGAGGCCCAATCAGCGTGGAGTAGAGCAGAAGAATTACTTCTCATGTCTTGCTTACAACACTCCTGCTAATGCACCCCAGAATGATGTTCGCTTTTTTTGCAACAGTGTTATACTTTTCACACATATTTAGGTTGTGATCCACTATGACCCCCAGATCCCTTTCTGCAGTACTCCTTCCTATGCAGTAACTGCCCATTTTGTATGTGTGCAACTGATTGTTCCTTCCTAAGTGGAGTACTTTGCATTTGTCCTTATTGAATTTCACCCTATTTACTTCAGACCATCTCTCCAGTTTGTCCAGATCATTTTGAATTTTAATCCTGTCCTCCAAAGCACTTGCAACCCCTCCCAGCTTGGTATCGTCCGCAAACTTTATCAGTGTACTCTCTATGCCATTACCTGGCACACTGATGAAGATATTGAACAGAACCGGACTCAGAACTGATCCCTGCGGGACCTCACTCATTATGCCCTCCAGCTTGATTGTGAACAACTGATAACTACTCTCTGGAAACATTTTTCCAACCAGTTTTGCACCCACCATCTAGGTTGTATTTCCCTAGTTTGTTTATGAGAAGGTCATGCAAGACAGTATCAAAAGCCCTACTAAAGTCAAGATATACCACATCTGCCCCTTCCCCCTATCCACAAGGCTTGTTACCCTGTCAAAGAAAGCTATTAGGTTGGTTTGGCATGATTTGTTCTTGACAAATCCATGTTGACTATTACTTAGCACCTTAGTGTCTTCTAGGTATTTGCAAATTGATTGTTTGATTATTTGTTCCATTATCTTTCCAGGTAATGAAGTTAAGCTGACTGGTCTGTAATTTCATGGATTGTCCTTATTTCCCTTTTTATAGATTGACACTATATTTGCCCTTTTCCAGTCCTCTGGAATCTCTCCTGTCTTCCATGACTTTTCAAAGATAACTGCTAATGGCTCAGATATCTCCTCAGTCAGCTCCTTGAGTATTCTAGGATGTATTTCATCAGGCCCTGGGGACTGGAAGACATCTAACTTGTTTAAGTAATCTTTAACGTGTTCTTTCCCTATTTTAGCCTCTGGTCCTACATCATTCACTATGTTAGGCGTCCAATCACTACTAACCTTTTTGGTGAAAACCAAAACAAACAAACAAAAAGATCATTTAGCACTTCTGCCATTTCCACATTTTCTGTTATTGTCCGTCTCCCCCACCCCTTATCGAGTAAGGGGGTCTACTCTGTCCTTGGTCTTCCTCCTGCTTCTAATGTATTTCTAAAATGTTTTCTTGTTACCCTTTATGTCTCTAGCTAGTTTGATCTTGTTTTGTGCCTTGGCTTTTGTAATATGTCCCTACATACTTCTGTTATTTGTTTATATGCATCCTTTGTCATTTGACCTAGTTTCCACTTTTTGTAGGACTCCTTTTTAAGTTTCAGATGGAGATTTTAACAGTCTGAGCTGATAGTCACTAACACTGCATGCTCTCAGAGTCTAGCCTTTCAGACAGGTGAGGACCACAAAAGTTGCAAAAGCAACATCAAAAACAGCAGCCTGTCCTGCGTATAGAGCACTACCCCAGACGGACTGACATTTCAAAGATGTTCAGTTACCAAGGGAATGTGGAGAGAGAGAGGCTGGAAGGACAACAAGGAGAAAGAAATACTCAGAAATATACGGGTCCCCCCATTCATGATATGCTGGAATAAAATAGTCCCCTGCTGTAGCTAACTTTACATGGACAGCAGCTTAAATACATCTGAGTGAAGTGCAAGGTTTCCAAATCAAAGGGTCTCTTCTCTGTTCACCTGGCCTCTCTGCTACCTCTGTCACCACTGACCACTCACCTTGATACTCCCTCTGTCTTGGGCTCACAGGACTCTGTCCTTTCCTGGCCCTCTCCTCTTTCTGACCATTACCCAAGGAGAATCCTCTTCCTGTTTCCTTCCCCCAGTGCATGTGCCCCAGGGATCTGTCCTTGGCCCCTTCATTCTCCTCCTCCACACTCACCCCTTTTCTGCTCCCCTGGTCCATTACCCCTGGGGTCCAACGTCCCTCAGATCTACCACACAATCTCCAGCTCTCACGAGGCCTCTTGGATAATTCCCCACAGATGTCCCTTCACTTCCTTATACTAAACGAGGCAAAAACTACGCTTCTCATCTTCCTCCCAAGCCTTTGTACCAGGAAAACTGATCTACTGCTCCGTAGGCCTCTCCCTCGCATCCAGCAGCTAAAACAATCTCCCTGTCCCACTGCTCTGTTCCTCTTCCCACCACCAACTTCCTCGAGTCCATTCACTGCCTCCCTGTTTCTTTCCACGTATAGTTCAAATTCCTCACCCTCACTTGTCAGGCTCTGTACAGCTGTGCCTGGCCCCATCCCACTCCTAACTCCCGCAGTTCTTCCTGGCACTCTGCCCAACCCTCTCATCTTACTCCATCCTCTCTCCTCCCACCTTGTCCTTTGTGCCCCTTTACATGCTGCTCCCTATGCCTGCAATGCCATCCCTCTTGGTCTGAGCCAGGCACCACTGCTCTACTCCTCAGAACGTGCATCTCTTGCTTAGCACAAGAATGGAGGTCAGTGGTACAATCGACTCCCCACTTCGTCCTACATCAATGTTCATTTTAAAACGACACAACCTACAAGATCCAACCGCTATCTGACCCCCACCATTCTCATGTGTGTTAACCTTCATCTCCCCATCCCTATACTTGCTTTGCTATCTTCAGATCAGTATTTGTCTAATCTACACTGTGGGGGTCTCATGGCAGGGGCCATCCTTTTTAACCTCTATGCCCTGCCCTGCGGTTAAAGGGTTGCCCAAATGCTTATTAGTAACAAAGAACACTGCAGCAACTCTGGCACTCAGCGTCCTGAACTGTGTCGTACAAGTGGGTACAGTACCTTTCATTTTTGAGTGACAGTCGAGCACTGGATCATGACAGATTGTGCAGGGCCACCACGGTCGTCTGTTGAACTTAGCCCAGACTAGATCTCCAACTTCATACTTCACTGGAGCAGGTTTCTTCTTGGCTCGATTCTTTGGACAGAAATCAGAACACGAGGAATCAAGTAAGCGACAGACACCTTTGAGGAGAGTCTCACATCTCGTTGGAACATCATCGGACAATCACCAGTGGTGGCAGTTCTATTTTTAAAAAAAGCTAATATTTCTTGCTCCGACATCTTTCACGGGACACCAACTATTTCCTCCCACCCACTCCTTCCCAATCCACTGTAGCCAGACATCACACCATTCAGCAGTAAAAGGTTTCAGCTCACAGCCAACACTGATTACTATCCAGCTCAGTCAGATGTCCTAGTTCACAGACAAGGAAGCAGAATATCTTGAGATATTTCTGTCTGGAAGGTGGTGATCAGAACAACAGATGCACAGTATCTGCCACTATTAGTAAAGGAAAAGTGCTGGGCACATACAAGCTAATACTACTCTGCTTCTCAGATAAATGCAGGAAATGGAGTTTGCTGATAAAACACTTTATACTACACTGAATGCATGTATGGTCATGATATCTTTAGCATTTCTCCTGCAGTTTGGTTTATGCATGCAGAGCCACCGCTGCTCCCAAAAAAACCCACAAGAGAGAGAGAGAGAGCAGGCAAGTCTGCACTGTCAGTCTGTCGCCTTTATGAAAGGAACCAAACTATAAAATGCAAATGCAACTGGCTGAGACATGGCTCACAGGGAGAGGCAGTAACACAGGCGCCACAACCGCCTCCAGAAGCCACACCTGAATTTCTGTTACTTGTTAGGAAATGGAATGCCCAAATCCACATGGTATCAGAAGTCTACACATGGGCAGGGAGGCTATTTCAGGGGACTCAGAGGCCAGCCTACTTGGGACAAGCTCCACTAAGGAAAATGAGCCAACCCAGATCCACCTGCGAGTTGTTAATTACCAATGTGGCTAGGTAGCAGGTAAGTAATTAAGGAACACCCAGGCCTTATAAAGGTTCTAAGAGCTCAGGCAGGGGGACCCCAGAACATACAAAGGCAGGTCCTGAGGAAAGGGGCTTCTCAGGGCAGCTGGGTCAGAGAGCGCACCAGAAAAGGGGACCTAGGAAAGAGGCTCCTGGAAGGAGCAGGATCCAAAAGTGCTACGAGGGGCAAAGCCCTAGGGAGGCCTGGTCCCAGCAAAAGGACCTTACCAGGCAGCAGCAAGAAGTCCAAATCGCTGGGGAACTACGTACCGCTCCAGAGAAGAGCTGCAGCAGTTTGACCTCTGCAGGGCCCTGAGTCCAGAGAAAGAACCCTTCCCTAGGTGATGGCAGGAGCCTGACTCCAGAAGAGGGTCCCAGGTCAAGGGGGCCTTACTGGTGAACAGCCTGGACGAAGGAGACGGATGGACTCAGGTGGGGAAAACAGACTAATATTAATTCGCCCCCTGCCCATTAGAACACTGGGGATGACGACTTGCTTGCCTGTCTGTTCAGTCTTTGATCAAACAAAATAGCAAAAAACTTGCATTAATGCCGAGCTAAGGTAGTCCTGTGGTATCCTGTGCCCTTCTGGAACACTGAGTTCAGCAAAACTCAAACTCCTGAAAACCAGGAAATAGAGTTACGGTAAAAGCCCATGCAACCTTAACTCTGCCCCGCCCCCCCCCCGGCCCCGAGCTCACAACAGCCACTGGGAATTACCTGCATGCTCTCCAGCTACACTCAGTCTGTTAAGGACAGCTGTACTGAATGGTGGAGGAATATGTTGGAGTAGCTTGGAAGAGCTGTGACTGTGATATGAGGAGATCTGGATCTGAATCAAAGAAGGAGGTGGATCTGTACCTTGAGGTTCCAGTCTGCATTATGTCAATCAAATTGCATGGGTTGTGTCAGCAGCAGGGCACCGGGGCACTCTTGCCATGGGTACTGTCAGTAGTGAGGTGGGATAGGAGAGCAGTCCAGATTTAACAATGGGTAGGGGAAAGTGTAGGGTTAGCTGGTCTGCTGTGTGAAGGGACCGTAAAAGGTGCAAAAACGGTTATTAAATGTGACACGTGCGGTAATTCGGTGGGGGGAGCAGGCACAGTGTTTGAGCACAGGGCAAGTGAAGGTAGCACCCGTTCATTACAGAGACAAGGCAAAGTGGGAGTCCAGATGTTATCGATGTGTTGGGGCATCACTCCAAGAGGGCAGAGTTAAGGTTGTGTGGACTTTTACCTGAAGTCTGTATGTCCTGGTTTTCAGAAGTCTGAGATCTGGTGAACTCGACGTTCTAGAAGGGTACGAGCTCACACAGGGCAGCCTTAACTCTGTCAGTGTTTTGGCCATTTAATTTCTTAGGTTTTGTTAAAGAAATGTCTGTTGGCAGGAGTTGTTAGTCACTGAGACAGTTTCAGTTCTCACCCAGATTTGCAGGATATTACCTGCCACAGGAGCCTAAGTACCTGGCTTTCACACAGTGCTTTTCAGAAGCAGATTTCAAAGAACTTTCCACTTTACAAATGGGAAACTGAGTCACGGAAGTGACATGACTTACCCAAGGTCGTCCAGCAGGCTGTGCCAGAGCTAGGAACAGTCCCAGTTCAGTGGTCTTTCCACTGGGCCATACAGCTGCTGTGTGATTCCATCGTCTCCTTCGCCCCCACCCCGGTACATTTTGTTAGAGTGCAATGGGGACAATGGTGGGTCAGAGCCAGGGAGAGAAACCTCACCCCTGGTCTCGGTCCCAAAACCTTGCCAGTTTTATCACATGGCTGTTAGAGTAACGTTAAGCACATGAGAAGACTGATGTCTCTCTCCACCCCGCCCACCATTCTCCTGAACGTGGATCACCCCACCCTGCCAACATCTCCAGCTCCCCCTCCCCGCCCCATCCCACTGAGCCACTGGCTGCACCGCAGAAGCCAATCACATGTAAGACGTTGCTCCTTGCTGTCTCTTGCCCTGTGCTGCTGCACACATGCATCACAGGCAGCAGCTCACTAGGGGGCCGTCCACTAGCCAGAGCTCCACACTGGGCCCAGCCCCTCATTCCCACTCCCCATCCCAAGTGGTCAGCCGGGCTTCCGCCATGCCCCAGACCCACCCGGTCCACCCCTCCTCCAAGCCACCCCCCACACAAAGGGGGATCTCTTAACTACTCACTTTTTGGATTTCAGATGTTTAAATCTGTTACCTAAGGTCCTGTCCCCCATGAGATCCAGGCTCACATGGAGGGGCAGGAGGAAGAGCTCAGACCCTTTCAGGGGGGTTGAGCTACCGGAGATCCCACATGCACATGAAGGTGAGAATTCAGGACCGACATCCCCCACTCATAGCCCCCCAACTTCCTTGGCTAGCCCTGATTCTCCAACCCCTCCTGTTTTCCCCCAAATCCCTCCCCCTTGCCCCATAACCTAAGCTCCCCGACCACCCATTCCCATTTATACCCCTCTTCATATTACCCCCACCCCGCACTGTACACCTAAATCCTCACCTACTCTTGCTCCCCAATCACCCCTCCCCAGTGAGAATTCACATGTGGAAATTATTTGCTTTTCAAAAATAGTTTCAGCACCTTCTGAATATTTGTCTGTGCTCAGATTAAATTTCTCCTAAATAAATAAATCGAATTTGACAGAGGCAGATTTTTCCCACGTGTACAGTTCATTCTCAAAAACAACAAGGAGTCTGCTGGCACCTTAAAGACTAACAGATTTATCTGGGCATAAGCTTTCGTGGGTAAAAACCTCACTTCTTCAGATGCAGACCCCCTGGCCCCACCCACCTAGGAAGATGCATCTGAAGAAGTGAGGTTTTTACCCACGAAAGCTTAAGCCCAAATAAATCTGTTAGTCTTTAGGGTGCCACCAGACTCCTTGTTGTTTTTGTAGATACAGACTAACACGGCCACCCCCTGATACTTGAGTTCATTCTCAGATTTCCTCCCAGGATGGGTTCAGAGCTGCAGACTCAGAGAGGTGTTAAGTGGTCCATTCATCTCAATGAGATGTTTTCATCTGAAGGAGAGCACCTGATGGAGATGACTACAGCCTGAAACAATAGCTATGAGACATGTGGATTGTTCCACTCATGTCAGTGGGTGTGCCCATCTCTTCCTCTCCCTCCCCCGCCCATTCTGACATGTATCAAGCATACCTGTTCTCAGCTCCTCACCCCAGTCTCAGCAGTATGTTCTTGGTGCATGCGCTGAGTATGCCTGTTCTCAGCTCCCCAGAGGGGCAGGGCTTCCCCAGCTCACATAGGGGCTGAGGGAGAGGGCTCAGATACTCCTGGAAAAGCAAGCCACCTCCAGAACCTGGCTCACATGAAGGGGAGAGGGAAAGGAGGGGTCAGACCCCAATGGATGGGCAGGAACCCCCCAGAGCCTGGTGCATACAAAGGGGCAGAGACCAGGGCTCAGGCCCCATTGGGGGCGGGCAGGGACAACCCAAATCCTAACTCACATAGGGAGAAAAAGGAAGCCCCTCCCCTCCCGAGAACCTGGCTCACATGAGGGGAATCTCATGCCCGGGCACAGCACACATGTGGGAGGAGTATATGGGACTGACAGGCACCCCTGCTCTTACTTTCCCTCAGCCTCCCTGTCATTCACCTTTATGTCCCTCTTCCCTTCCTGCCACTGCACCTAGTCCCCATCACCTGATCCCCCAACACCTGTCCCCCACTCCCAACTACTCTTCCACCTCTAATCACCCTCCCCCCCCCGCAATCAGCGATTGCATATGTAGCTTATTTTCTTTTCAAAACACTTTCAGCACCTTCTGAGCCCTGGTCTATACTAGAAACTTACGTTGGTATAACTGTCGCCTGGAGTATGGAAAAATCCACCACCCTGAGCAACACAGTTATATTGACCCACACAACTCCTGGTGTTGATGGGAGGGCTTCTCCCGTTGACACAGCTACTGCCTCTCGGGGAGGTGGAGCACTACGCCAATGGGAGAGCTTCTCCTCTCCGCACAGGTAGCGTCTGCGCCACTACAGTGCTGTAAATGTAGACAAGCCCAGAATAACCTGCTGCACTGAGATTACATGGACGGAAAACCCCCGACGTTAACGTAGGCAGCGTGGACACCA